AGGAAACCAAATTGTAGCTCAAAATTTTTGTAAAACCAATGTGACATTTATCACAGACGTGATGATTAAATTTGTGGCTGGGGGTGGCAGGAATTACACAGCGTTTACCAACTCTAAGAATTAATCCTTATTTGTCACATAGGTTCATAAAAAAAACCTTTCTGTATATAATATTACCCTTCTGTAAATATATCTTATATTAATACATATAATAAATTCTATGATTAGCATGCTTTGATAAAATATTTATAATTTAAGTAGAATTTATATATTCACTTACAGTTATACTATTCTTAATCAGTGTTTGCATATTGTTTAATTAGCATTCATTTAGTGCTTCTATATGTCTTATAATTTTACTATGTTTAATTAGTAATCTGAAATAGGTTTGACTTTAAAGTTGTAATAACTCTAGCAAGAATAAAATAATTTTTTATGGTTTGTATATTAAATTAAAACCCAGAATCTTGAGAATCCAAAGATATAAAATTTGTACAATTTTATTTATTTTTTATTTGTCTTTAATATGTGGCTTACTTTTTTAACTGGGTAAAATCAAAATTAGCCATTGTAGATCATAGTAGATTCGTGTTATGTATACTCCACCCTTAATAGATATTTCAAAAAAAGATCAACAATTTATATGTGAAGAGTACTGTAAATTGAAAAAGGACCACTTAGAAAAATGGCACTGCACACACTATTCCAAACTTTGCAAAATAATTCTATTTTTATTTTTACCCTCAGATCAAGTTTGAGTTTGACTTTTATTGGTACCAAAGTTTACCTAAATTTCATTTTTGTTAATGATCTACACATTTCAATTTCTGTCAACAAAGCTGTACATACAATACATCAGTGTTGGCAATTTAACTGGTTCAAATCTTTTTTTGAACTATATATTTGAACTTTTGAATTGTTAATTAGTTAAATAACATGCTGATCATTTGAACTTTGCTGAGCAGTTATTTAACCAATCTGCAATTTATTTGATAAATTTCATTACAAATATGGAAATCAGTATCAAAATATTATTATTATATGTACTGTTTTCTGGATCCAGAGTCAATAACTTTGATTTAGGAAAGAACAATGTTTATTTACACCTTGATTTAAAAATTTATCAATTTGTACACAGGAGCAGCTTAGAAGAAATCATAATTTACAATAAAAAGATATAGGTGATAGAAACAAACTCATGCATATTATCTAACCCAATTTGTTAATTGTTCACTGATAATTTCAAAATTTGGTTAGACAATGTACCCTGCACAAATCAATCAATTGATGTCATTGAACCAAAGTTCACAGGTTCAAATGATTTTTTGAACTGGTTATTTAACTGACAGTTCAAAAGTTAAATAACTGTCATTGCCATCACTGCAATGCATGTCACAGTAATGCATCCAAAATAACTAGTCTTCTTAAAATTGACATGGGTTAAATTCTCATATAACTTTTGAAAAAAAAAACAACATAAATCAATTATTCTAGTTAAAGGCTATTGAACTATGTTGGAATTTTTTAATTAAGTTCAATGCAACAGAAGTCATGTCAAGTTAAAGTTTGATGTTGTATATATTATAAAAAATTTTGAAATTGACCCCCTATAATTCTGGTCAATTTTGTTTAATTCCGGCCCAAATTATGAAGTAAAATGTATCAATTTTAATTCTTTCTTCTAAAAATAAATAAATTTTTCTAATAAAAACCTTAAATATTTAAAATGGGTGTAATTAAAAAAAAACTCAGTACTTAAAAAATATTGTTAAAATTCCTGGCAGTCAAAAAAAAACTAGAAGATAATGAAATTGAGTGAGAAAAAGAAAATATTAATAAAATGGTCAAATTCTTGGTATATTTTTTAAGGTTTTCAGTCCAAACTGTTTTCTCAAAGCCCAAACTAGTTTGGGCAATTTGGGCTTCTCAGCATTTTTTATAAACATGAACATTAAAAAACTATACCAATCAACTTATTTTAACTTAAACAACTTTAAAGTAATTTCACCCAATTTTGGCTAATAACAAAAAATAGTTTGGGCTTATAAAAAAGTAATTTTTGCCCAAAGTGTTATGGCAATTTTGGCTACTAATAAAGAGAGTTTTGGCCAGAAACCTTAGTATTTTTGTCATGTGTGATCTATGGACCTATAAATGAAATTTGACCCTCTATATAAAAAGTGGATGTATTACTGTGACATGCACTGTAGAAGGACCCACAAACTATATAGTTGGGTTACTGCTGTTGATGAAAATCACCAAATTTGGAACATGTTTAACAAATTTGGAAATATTGTCTCCAATAAGCCAATCACAGTGTGGGTCAAACCCTATATCAAACTGTGATTTTTGTATGTAACCTATCTATATAGTTTGCAGGGCCCTGTGTAGAATATGCATTGATAAATAGCATTAACCTGCTTGATAAGTTATTTTCTTTTGTTAATAAGGATATTTAAATGGTGTTCCAAATCCTTTTCAAAGTATTTTTGTTCGGTCACATGATTTTGGCTTATAGATTTCAATACCCAATGATTTGATTTTTAACTATGCTTTGTTAACCAATGAAATTTATTTGCGTGACATTTTAATTGAATTTCATTGGTTAATTTCGATCCGATTTTTGCTAAATATTAATATTAATATTAGAAGACCTTTTCATTAAAGAATTCACTTCACATATATTTCCTAAAAGCGAGTTTGAATGCTAAATTTAAAAAGAGCTTTATTCAAGTTCCAAAAGATCATAATTTTGATCCATAAGTATCTATCCATCTAGCATACATATTTGTTTGAATGCATTGAATCATTTAACAATCTTTTTTTGCGTCCTTGAATAAAAAAAAATTTTAAAGAAAAAACTTTACTTAATAAAGAAAGAAAGTGAAAAAAATGGAAAGGGGAATCAATAACAATGACGTATGTGTGTTTGTGTTAATATTAATGTGTGTATTCAATATATTATTATAAAATTGATTATGCCATTTATAATTGAAACCATATAACTGTCAACATAGTCATCTTCTGCATCTTATACACCTCTAATAGAAGAAAACAATGAAATTCAAGCAACAAGTCCAAAAGTTTCTACCTCAGATGATGGTGTAGACAATGATAGCTTACCACATAATACTTCTCTTAACAATCATTTTCATCAACATTTTGATGAACCTGTTCTGAGAAATTTCGAAAAAACTGCTAAAATCACCCCTTTTGTAGTTACCTCAGCTTTAATTGTGGCCATTGGTGGATTCTTATTTGGGTAGTATATATTATATGTGTGAATTAATTGTATTTATTTTTTTATTAAGAAAATTTTTTTAAACATTTTTAGATTTGATACAGGTGTAATTAGTGGTGCAATGTTGCTAATTGAACGTGAATTTACTATGACAGCTTTTCAAAAAGGAATGGTAGTTGGAGGTAAATAATCAAAATCCATTATTTTATTTGAAAACAAAGTTTTTTTTTCAATTAATTTGCAAATTTTTGTTTTTGTTTAGCAACAACAATTGGTGCATTTTTTGGTGGATTGGGAGCTGGTAAATAATTGATACTGATGGAGATAATAATATTATTTTAAAGAAGACAATGATAATAATAATAATAATAATAATAATAATAATAATAATAATTATTATCACATCAAATATATATATTAAATAGGTTCTTTATCAGATTTTGCTGGACGTAGAATTACATCTATACTTGCA